GACCCAAAATCTGGCTCTCTGCACCTATTCGCAGTTTGAAATTCCGACTTTTTATACCAAAAACCTGAAAATTACTGAAAGCGGCGGTGGGTCATATTTTGCCCAAACCCCCCTGCAGTTTTCAAAATATCCCAAACATCCCAAAATTGATACCTGAGCCATATTTTGGACCCAAAATCTGGCTCTCTGCACCTATTCGCAGTTTGAAATTCCGACTTTTTATACCGAAAATATGCCAATTACTGAAAGCAGGGGTGGGTCACATTTTGCCCAAACCCCCTTGCAGTTTTCAAACCTTCACAAACATCCCAAATTCGATACCTGAACCATATTTTGGACCCAAATTCTGGCTCTCTGCACCTATTCGCAGTTTGAAATTCCGACTTTTTATACCAAAAACCTGAAAATTACTGAAAGCGGCGGTGGGTCATATTTTGCCCAAACCCCCCTGCAGTTTTCAAAATATCCCAAACATCCCAAATTTGACAGCTGAGGCATATTTTGGACCCAAAATCTGGCTCTCTGCACCTATTCGCAGTTTGAAATTCCGACTTTTTATACCAAAAACCTGCCAATTACTGAAAGCGGCGGTGGGTCACGTTTTGCCCAAACCCCCCCGCAGTTTTCAAAATATCCCAAACATCCCAAATTCGATACCCGAGCCATATTTTGGACCCAAATTTTGGCTCTCTGCACCTATTCGCAGTTTGAAATTTCGACATTTTACACCAAAAATCTGCCAATTACTGAAAGCGGCGGTGGGTCACATTTTGCCCAAACCCCCCCGCAGTTTTCAAAACATCTCAAACATCCCAAATTCGATACCTGAGCCATATTTTGGACCCAAATTCTGGCTCTCTGCACCTATTCGCAGTTTGAAATTCCGAATTTTTATACCAAAAATCTGAAAATTACTGAAAGCGGCGGTGGGTCAAATTTTGCCCAAACCCCCCTGCAGTTTTCAAAATATCCCAAACATCCCAAATTCGATACCTGAGCCATATTTTGGACCCAAAATCTGGCTCTCTGCACCTATTCGCAGTTTAAAATTCCTACTTTTTATACCGAAAATATGCCAATTACTGAAAGCAGGGGTGGGTCACATTTTGCCCAAACCCCCATGCAGTTTTCAAAACTTCACAAACATCCCAAATTCGATACCTGAACCATATTTTGGACCCAAATTCTGGCTCTCTGCACCTATTCGCAGTTTGAAATTCCGACTTTTTATATCGAAAATATGCCAATTACTGAGAGCAGCGGTGGGTCACATTTTGCCCAAACCCCTCTGCAGTTTTCAAAACATCCCAAACATCCCAAATTCGATACCTGAGCCATATTTTGGACCCAAATTCTGGCTCTCTGCACCTATTCGCAGTTTGAAATTCCGACTTTTTATACAAAATCTGCCAATTACTGAAAGCGGTGGTGGGTCAAATTTTGCCCAAACCCCCCTTGCAGTTTTCAAAATATCCCAAACATTCCAAATTCGATACCCGAGCCATATTTTGGACCCAAATTTTGGCTCTCTGCACCTATTCGCAGTTTGAAATTCCGAAATTTTATACCAAAAATATGCCAATTACTGAAAGCGGCAGTGGTTCACATTTTGCCCAAACCCCCCCGCAGTTTTCAAAACATCCCAAACATCCCAAATTCGATACCTGAGCCATATTTTGGACCCAAATTCTGGCTCTCTGCATCTATTCGCAGTTTGAAATTCCGAATTTTTATACCAAAATTCTGAAAATTATTGAAAGCGGCGGTGGGTCAAATTTTGCCCAAACCCCCCTGCAGTTTTCAAAATATCCCAAACATCCCAAATTTAATACCTGAACCATATTTTGGACCCCAAATCTGGCTCTTTGCACCTTTTCGCAGTTTGAAATTCCGAGTTTTTATACCGAAAATATGCCAATTACTGAAAGCAGGGGTGGGTCACATTTTGCCCAAACCCCCCCTGCAGTTTTCAAAACTTCACAAACATCCCAAATTCGATACCTGAACCTTATTTTGGACCCAAATTCTGGCTCTCTGCACCTATTCGCAGTTTGAAATTCCGACTTTTTATACCAAAAATATGCCAATTACTGAAAGCAGGGGTGGGTCACATTTTGCCCAAACCCCCCTGCAGTTTTCAAAACATCCCAAACATCCCAAATTCGATAACTGAGCCATATTTTGGACCCAAATTCTGGCTCTCTGCACCTATTCGCAGTTTGAAATTCCGACTTTTTATACCAAAAATCTGCCAATTACTGAAAGCTTCGGTGGGTCACATTTTGCTCAAACCCCTCTGCAGTTTTCAAAATATCTGAAAAGTCGGAAATTTGACTCCTGAGCGTGATTTTAAAGCCTAATTCTGACTCTCTGCACCTATTTTCATTTTCAAATTTTGACTTTTTATACCGAAAATATGCCAATTACCGAAAACGTCGATGGGTCATATTTTGCCCAAACCCCCCTGCAGTTTTCAAAATATCTGAAATGTCGGAATTTTGACTCCTGAGCGTGATTTTTGAGCCGAATTCTGACTCTCTGCCCCTATTTTCATTTTCAAATTTTGACTTTTTATACCGAAAATATGCCAATTACCGAAAACGTCGATGGGTCATATTTTGCCCAAACCCCCCTGCAGTTTTCAAAATATCTGAAATGTCAAAAATTTGACTCTTGAGCGTGATTTTTGAGCCAAATTCTGACTCTCTGCACCTATTTTCATTTTCCAATTACGACTTTTTATACCAAAAATATGCTAATTACCGAAAACGGCGATGGGTCATATTTTGCCCAAACCCCCCCCCTGTAGTTTTCAAAATATCTGAAATGTCGGAAATTTGACTCCTGAGCGTAAGTTTTGTTTTAATAACATTATCTTGGTGGCGGATGTAGGTGCAGAATGCTCACTAGTGAGTCCCATTCCTCAGCGGCTTTTCTAATCATTGTAGTCGCTGTGGAATGTGCATGTAATGCAGCTGCTGTCGTTAGATTAATGTTGAGTTTGATGCGCAGGGCTTCAGTAGCTTCACATTGCAGTAAGTAGTGCAATAGTGGCGCCTCTGCTTCTGTTCCACAGATATGACACTCTTTAACTATTGGGTTTATTACCTCCCAGCAGCACTTGTAGCCAAGTCTGAGTCTGTATATGGCTACTGCAATGTCTCTGGATATCTTTTTGTCAGGCTTGAAAGAGTAGTTCCCAGTGGCTTGTTCATACCATATCGCAGTGGATCTTCCTTCCGCTACTTTGGCTCTGTGGCGACTTTTGATAGTTGGGAGTATTTTCTTCTTGATTTGCTCCTTAATCTGTGAAAAACTTGGAGGTATTTGAAGCTGTATAACAGGTAGAGCAGTGGCAGTTTTTGATAGTGAGTCTGCCTTTTCATTATTATCTATGCCAATGTGACTTGGTATCCAATTTAGGGTGATTGACAGCCCTAGATTATGGGCTTCTTTTCCTATATGTTGGATTTCTGTGAGAAGTTGTATATTATTTTTGTGCTGACTGGATAACAATGCCTGGAGCGAAGATTTAGAGTCGGTATGAATGATGACATCATGTAAATTATTCTCAATTGTATAGCTTATTGCCTCCTTCAGGGCATATAATTCTGTTTGCAATGTTGAGCACCCACTATTCATGCTCCAGTAAGCTTCATGGTTGGTAGTGTAAACTGCTGCCCCAGCAGAACCTCTTTCTTGATCAACTGATCCGTCTGTGAAGATGTGAGTCGTTGTAGGTCTTGAGATGGTTTCCATTTATTATTCTATGACTGCTTTGAGCTTCTGTGAGTCACATGCTGATTTTTTAACTGGTAATCCTTCAATGATTATCTTTAGACTCGATTCTTCCCATGGAGGAGGCTGTCGAAAGTGTTGATATGGTCTATCTTCCCATTTGTTTTTAATGGTCCATTTCAAGTCCACTTTCTCTAGAATCTTGACCAGATTATCCGTCCATGCACTTGTTCTATATTGAAGATTTCTCTGAAGCTATCTATGTATGCTATCTTTGATTGACAGTCTGGCGGTGGTTCCAACAAGTTGTGCTGTTATGGTGATTATTTTTTACACACATCATTTCATGCTTATATTCGTTTTTGGGTAAGGTGATATGGCACAAATGTTTTTGGCTGAGGTGACAAAAGATAAAACACGAATCAATGGGTATATTGAATATTTTTCTTCTATTATGTCTACGCCATATATTTATCTTACACACGCACACACACAACCTCAGGAAGCAGCCCGTAGCAGCTGTCTAACTCCCAGGTACCTATTTACTGCAAGGTGAACAGGCTCATCAGGGGTGAACGAAATGCTGCCCATTTGTCTCCACCTCTGCCGGGGATCGAACCCGGGCCCTTAGAACTATGACCCCAGAGCGCAGCGGGTTGTAGTCCTGTCCTCAACCCCAACCCCATGTGGGGCTTGGGGGGTGAGGGGGTGGGGGTCTAGAGGCGCCCTTTTACCCTTTTATGTATCACTCGGGACCTATCACCGGGGGCGGCTCTCCCTAACCCCCTCCCCACACCACCTAAAACCAGCCAACCCCTCGCCTCAGCCCCCCACCCTCCAACAAGCATCACCAACATCACCATCATCACCAGTAGGAGCCACAGATCCCACCTGCCTCCTCCAGGGGGCATCACCAGCATCCCTCCCCCCCCAACACTAACCCTCCCTGAGGTAAACAACTGCCGTTATGCACGCATCTTGCAAGAGAAGCAACACACACTCTCAGTAACCTCACAATCACCCTCACTGCTCACTCCCCTAGCGGCTCCACCACCACAATCACCCTCACTGCTCACTCCCCTTGCGGCTCCACCACGACAATCACCCTCACTGCTCACTCCCCTAGCGGCTCCACCACCACAATCACCCTCACTGCTCACTCCCCTAGCGGCTCCACCACCACAATCACCCTCACTGCTCACGCCCCTAGCGGCTCCACCACGACAATCACCCTCACTGCTCACGCCCCTAGCGGTTCCACCATGACAATCACCCTCACTGCTCACGCCACTAGCGGCTCCACCACGACAATCACCCTCACTGCTCACGCCCCTAGCGGCTCCACCACGACAATCACCCTCACTGCTCACGCCCCTAGCGGCTCCACCACGACAATCACCCTCACTGCTCACGCCCCTAGCGGCTCCACCACGACAATCACCCTCACTGCTCACGCCCCTAGCGGCTCCACCACGACAATCACCCTCACTGCTCACGCCCCTAGCGGCTCCACCACGACAATCACCCTCACTGCTCACGCCCCTAGCGGCTCCACCACCACAATCACCCTCACTGCTCACGCCCCTAGCGGCTCAGCCACCACAATCACCCTCACTGCTCACGCCCCTAGCGGCTCCACCACGACAATCACCCTCACTGCTCACGCCCCTAGCGGCTCAGCCACCACAATCACCCTCACTGCTCACGCCCCTAGCGGCTCCACCACGACAATCACCCTCACTGCTCACGCCCCTAGCGGCTCCACCACGACAATCACCCTCACTGCTCACGCCCCTAGCGGCTCCACCACCACAATCACCCTCACTGCTCACGCCCCTAGCGGCTCAGCCACCACAATCACCCTCACTGCTCACGCCCCTAGCGGCTCAGCCACCACAATCACCCTCACTGCTCACGCCCCTAGCGGCTCAGCCACCACAATCACCCCTCACCACAAGGAGTCTCATCTCTACAATATATAACAATCTGTCATCACTTAAAACAGACACTTCAGAGCAAATTCCTAAATAACAACATTTCAGATAACTCTATTAACTCTAAGTGCTTGTGATCGTTTTGCCATGTAGACTGTGGATACAGATGATACACTTTCAAATTTAGCCTAACCACTTGAAACGGACGGTACAGCGCCGGCCGCGCTTCTAGCAGGCCTGAGTTTAATCCCCGACCGTCTAAGAAATTGGGCACCATTCCTTCCCTCCTAAATCCTTGTCCAGGTATCCCTTCAAAGTGCCATATAGTCGTAATGAGTTACCACTTTCTCAGGGCAACTACTTTACCCCTTCGGGAAGGGCATAGTCTCACAAGTTGATCTCAGACCTTGTAACTCGTATCTGATTACTCAACTACTTCTCAGATCCTGAAACCAAATCACACTCCCTCGTGAAACCTTTCCAGCTCCCACAACTCATTCTGAGTCCCACAGCTCATTCCCAGCTCACTATAATTCTTTTCCATCCCCTGGGAAAGTAATTCCCATCAACCAGTCCTTACGATTCGGACGCTTTTGATCAGCAATTTGACCCAGCGTCTGTAACTTGTTTCAGGTCACTCACTGTACGTTGTCAACCACCCTCATGGCTTGTTTCCGTGATCTGTCTCGTTGATGATACACACGTACGTCAATTCCATCCAGCGTAACTACTCTACATCCTCGTAACTCGTTTTCTGTCACGTAACACAGGTCGGCAGCCTCAGTAACACGTGGCTAAACCAAACTACAGGATTATGAGTCCCGTAGTTTGGTTTAATTTCTCCCTATGTGTCTAATTCCCCTATTGTTAGGTTTCGATCCTATTATCGTAAAGTCGCAGTCAAAACACCGTATGTTAATTTCTGGAACAAAATCACATGTTTTAACCTACAAGAAAAAAACATTTGAAAATCACTTTCAGTAAATGTATGATGAAAATACTATAATAGTTTTCTCCACTAAATTCACGTGTAAAAATAAGAGCGCTCTATTTTAGGAGGCTCCTGCCAGGCCTCTTTAGACAGCACTCGGGATTCGTAGTCATGAGGTTCCGGGTTCGATCCCCGGTGGAGGCGGAGACAAATGGGCAGAGTTTCTTTCACTCTGATGCCCTTGTATATATATATATATATATATATATATATATATATATATATATATATATATATATATATACACACATATATATATATATATATATATATATATATATATATATATATATATATATATATATATATATATATGAGTATCGCCTTGCTGTTAGGTGAACAGAGGCATATTAGGTGAAAGGATATGAGCCCAACCATTTCTGTCCCGCCCGGGATTCGAGCCTGGAATTCTCGATTGTGCGTCGAGAGCGAACCCGACTGTACTACCGGGACCCTAAAGTGCATTAAATTTGCATTGTTTACAGAACCCTGGTCTTTATTACCTGTGTCAATAGGACCACCTCTGTAGCCTCAACCTGTACTACCATCCCCACTACCACAGCAGCACCACCACCACACCACCCCCACCACCACACTACCCCCACCGACACACCATTACACCACCACACCACCACCACACTACCCCCACCGACACACCATTACACCACCACACCACCACACTACCACCACCACACCACCACACTACCACCACCACACCACCACCACACCACCACCTTCCTCCAGCTCCTCAGGCAGGCGGGTAATTGATATTGATGTTGGCGATGTGTCTCGAAGCTTTTTCAGCTCTCGTGTTTATCACTAATCATCCCAAGTGGTCCCGCACACACCTCACTTGGTGCTGCCACCCCCCTGCCACCCCCCCCCCTGCCTCCTCCTGCCACCCTCTGCCACCCCTGGCACTCCATGCCACCTCCTGCCTCCCCCTGCCACCTCACTGGCACCCCCTGCCACACCCTGCCACCCCTGCCACCCCCTGCCTTCCCCCTGCCACCCCCTGCCACTCCCCTTCCACCCCTACCTTTCCCCTTCCACGCCCTGCCACCACCACCACCACAGTAGCCCCCCCCTGCACACATACATCATATATGTATATTCATCTATGTATATACACCAAAATAATTCACAGTATACACAGGAGTATATTATTATTTCAAGACCTAGCGGGACTTCCAAACACAGAAGGTCGCGTTTTCGTTTTTATTATAGGTGACTCTCGACCTTCAACGATCAAGTCTCCCGAGGACTGCAACGCAGCTTCATGCAAGAGCAATGATTTAGAAGACGACGTCACCGACACTGAACAATTAACTATTTACCTGGACTCAAATTACAAAAATCTTAATTTAGAGATAATAGTGTATTTACCTACCAAAGCCTCAATGCAGCAATCCAAAACGATGAGAAATTACCGCCTTGCTAATCCTTCCAGTTCTGCTAATCCTGCTAATTTTGCTAATCTTCCTAAACCTGATGAAATACTAGATAATCCGGAGACCATCGTACCTGTTCACGAATGACAAACACACTACACATAACTCCCAGAACAAAACAAGAAAACCCGGTAATGGTACAAAACTCTCAAACAAAAACATAAACAAACAATACGGACAGCGTTCCCACAAGAAATATAGGAATCCGGATTCAAAGAACCCGTGATCATTTAACCGTACGAAAATGGCCATTAAGTCAAGAGAAAGACTAATGCTTCACACGACCGGACATTATGAGACCAGACTCGTGTTAGGGTAAAGCATTGTGAGGTAATGAAGTATCACCAGCATTGAAAAAAAGGAAGTAACAGATTGGGTTAAAAATAAAAATTCTACGTATAATGAGAATTGAAGAAACAAAAAGAGATGCAAGTATAGGAAGGAATGATTTTTTGTTTTGCATTTACTATGCTAAATTTAAATAATATATCTATTTAATAACACTATTACTATACAATTAACAAAATTGTATTCACGTTGTGGTCGTGTTGTGAACAGGTTAAAGGAAAATATGAGGAGAAAGCACTAATTTCACTGTCACTAATTACAGGTGAAAATACAACTATATAACACTTGGAGGGGATTTGAGGATAGGGAGCAGGGATAGTATGGAGGGAAAGTGCCCTAACCACTTGGAGCATCGGGGATCGAACGCCGACCTGAAAGAACCGAGGCCGTCGCTAAACCGACCATTATGTGCCAATATAAATAAATATAAATAATAAAGTTAAAAATAATATTACGAATTTCTTGACCGCGAACTTTTCAATAAATCCCCCTCGAGAGAGACCAACACTCCCGCAGGAGTGGAAAGCCTCAAATGTCTCACCAATAAATGAGAAATAATTATTTTCCTTGTAACTATCGACCAATCAGCTGGAAAAGCTGGAAAACTCACAGAAACCATTATTTGAGACCGCGCAGTATAACATTTAGTGAGTCAACCCCTCTAATTAAGGGTCGCAATATTGGCGTCCTGACGAGGTCGTCAGAGTGTGATCGGGTCGCCTGTAAAAACCCTGGTTGGGCTCCTGTTTGGGGGTTCCAGGACATCCTAGTGAATTCAGTAGAGTTCCAGGTTGGTTGACTTTTGTACCATCGTGGCCTAGTTGGTTAACGCCGGTGTCTGGGACCAGAACGCCGTTCTGGTGTCTCACCAGAACGCAGGTTCGAGTCACTCCATTGCCTCAAAACGATTTTCATTGATATATGATTAATAATGAATCATATTAATCCCGCTGAAAAGACACGAATATATTCAGAATTGAAAGTCTCATAGATAATCAACATACAAATCTGGACCCAGAAAAGAATACTTTAAAGTAGAATAATCAAATTCAGCACGTAAGAATAATTTAAAAATTAATAATTAACAAACGACTTCACTCCAAGGAAGCAAAATTATTTATTTTGACATGTAGTAAGCGTTTAGAACGTGATGTAAGGAGGCACCCCCCGTAGGCCTAATACTGACTTCTCCTACAGCCTACAACAAAGGCCTATAGTTCCCGGGGGAAACATTTAACTGCAAGGTGAATAGGTGAATCAGGTTAAATGAAACGTGCCTAACCATTTTTGCCCCTTCCGGGGATTGAACCCGGGATTTCCGATTGTGGACTGAGGACAGACCGAAACGAATACTTTTAAAAATAGATTAAACAAATATTTCTCTTCAAATCAGTGCCTTACATTGTTCCGAAATACCTTTTTTTTACATAAAACAGGAGCATAGTTTGGATCTAATAGTCTGTTGCTGTTTGGATTCCTTTGTAATTCCTTGTAATCATCACAATCCTGTTTCCCAATTGCATGGAGTGGGAAGGCATTGTAATGGTTTTAATTAGGATTATTTTAAAGGCACGGAGGGTAGAATTGAAACGGGGAATTCTATTTACAACTTAATTGAATCCATTATTAATTAACATACATCCCTTGAGTATTACCTCAGCCCAGGGGAACATCACGTTTTATATTTTATTCAGCCAAATATTAATTCAGAGATATTCCTTGGCTGTTACATATTTCGGCCCCTAGTAGTTCCTTGGGTCATTAAGGGGGGAATAAACAGCAATTAGCAGTTACAATTCCGTCTGGTTCACCTTCGGGTTAACTTTTACTTCTGAGGACCTGTCTCTCTCTCTCTCCTCACAAACACCCATTCTCCTCCAACACAATAGATCGGCTCGAAAGGCGGGGTCCAAGAGCTCGAATTTGCAGACACCAAATATTAAATACATTATTGAACGTCTCATTCACTCAATATTGTTTTACCTTGATAATATTCCATCTTTATCATGTCAGTATCTATCTTCATTATGTCACCATCTTCATCATGTCACCATCTTTATCATGTCACCGTCTTCATCATGTCACTATCTTTATCATGTCTCTATCTATCTTCATCATGTCACCATCTTCATCATGTCACCATCTTCATCATGTCACCATCTTTATCATGTCACCATCTTCATCATGTCACCATCTTCATTGGGACATGTCCGCATCCTCATCATTTTCCCATTTTCATCATGTTCCGTTAATGATGT